TGCCTGCCTGCCACTGGGACTTTCCAGAGGATTTCTGGGTACAGTGTGGCACCTGCCCATCTACTGCCTCACACAGCTAGAGACTTGACTTCCTTAATGCCAAGGGAAGGAGAGTTGAGGATATCTTGTAGGTCCCACAAAGCAGGGACCTACAAGACATCCTGCTTTCATCACTGCTAAACCTAAAGGATATCACATATGTACGTCTGAAGAGTCTTAGGGCAGACTACACTATCTACAGAAGCAGAAAGCATGCAATCTATCAGCAAACTTTGTGTCTGCAGGAAATCATTGGCTGTAGTTTACAGTGGCTGGGGCCACAATTCTCAAGTTTATATCATGACTCCCACGTTTTAAGCAAATCACAGCACAGCTTGAGAGCTGAGCCATAAAGTCTGCGCTCATCCCGAGTCAGCAAAAAAGCAACTTCTAAGTATACCAACCTGACTCCTGCAAGAAAACTCCTATGGGTGACAATCACTCTGCCTGACACTTTATATCCTGGCTTGCCTGAATAGAAACCGTACTTTCTGGGGATGTGGCACCTGAGCATAGTAAATTTTAGAAAGGTCACAGAAAGCAATTTTAGTCTTCTCAGGTATACCAAGTTTGTTAAAGGGTAGCTTGGTTTTGCCCAAAGCATAGCACAGCATGTACTACAGAATAATAGCACATTACAATAAACACTTGAAAATGTAAACAGGAGTTTGCAAATATGTTTCATGCTACATGTATCATGACCATGAGATGTGGAACCGGATGACCCCAGCTGTATGAGCATTCATGGTCATCTGACTAGGTGCCAGGGGATTGGAAACTAGCTAATGTGGTCCCCATTTTTAAGAAAAGGAGGAAGGAGGACCCAAGTAACTACAGGCCCGTAAGCCTCACCTCGCTCCTCGGGAAGACCTTGGAGAAAATCATCAAGGAGCACATCTGTGGGGGGCCTGCAGGGGAGATCATGCTCAGGGGCAACCAGCATGGGATCATCAAAGGCAGGTCCTGCCTGACCAACCTGATTGCCTTTTATGACCAAGAAACTAAATCCTTGGACGATGGTGTCGCCGTGGACGTAGTCTTTCTTGACTTTAAGAAGGCCTTTGACACTCTCACCCCATTCTCATTAATAAATTAAGCAACTGTGGTTTTGATGCCTACACAGTTGGATGGGTAAAAAACTGGCTGATGGGGCGCACCCAAAGAGTAGTGGTGGATGGGTTGTACTCAACCTGGCGAGATGTGAGCAGTGGGGTCCCCCAGGGCTTGGTCCTCGGGCCCGCACTGTTTAACATCGTCATCAGCGACTTGGACGAGAGGGTTGAAAGCACGCTGTCCAGGTTTGCTGATGACACTAAGATGTGGGCGAGGTGGACACACTTGAAGGGAGAGAGAGGCTGCAACTAGATTTAGACAGACTACAAAAGTGGGCAGATGAGAATAGGATGGGGTTCAACGTAGACAAATGCAGGGTGCTGCACCTTGGGAGAAGGAATCCACAGCATACATACAGGCTGGGGAGTTCCCTTCTTGAAA